TTCTCGGCAATCTTGACTGCTAGTATCGTGACATCGCGCTGCCATTGATGACCTGTATCACAATCAACACAAAGTCCGAACAGGAAAAGACCTTTGTGTATAGCGATGGCCTTTCAACAGACTAAGTACCTTTCACAATGTACTAGATAACGAGGTACTGGAATGTCGCTGAAATCGCTGCGGCAGCGAACGAGGGGTGGGGGCTAAGAAGAGTCTGCGGATTTGGATGAAGAGGGAATTTATGGACCAGCCCTACGAGGTATGGTGTGAGTTTTGCGCGGGAGAAAGTAGCCTGGGGCTTCTAAGAGAGTGGTGATGGCGTGGAAGAGCTTTCGAAGCGAGATGCAGCGAAATAGGAAAAAGATGAACGAACGAAGAGGCTCAGAAGGAAGGGAATTTGAGTACTTGACCATGTTAGATTTGTTATTTCGATGTAACGATACTCACGAAATACGTCTCCAGGTGTTGAACTGGGACTCCGATACGACCACGAATCCGGACTATCAACGTCAATAGGGAAAGACAAATTGAACTTTCGCCACCCCTCAATTCCACTGATTCGAACCAGCTACCATTTGACAGGGTTGCCAACTCCAGGATGCATCATAGAGGTCATGACAACATGCATCTTAATTGGGAGAAACGAATATATCTTGGGTAACAAATCACGTACGTTAAGTTAGTATAAGAAGTGTAGTAGGCAACCTGAGAGTGCAAGATTCTAGTTATCTCGACAGAAACCTGTCTCACCCAAGACAATAGTGACCAATGCGGCACTCAAGCATTCTCAGGTATCGAGATCTCTAAAGTCAACAAGGTGTTTTTATGATCGCCAATGAATCGCTCAGCCTCAGTCGGAGAGTGACATGGCTGCTGCCACTCAACAGCGTTGCCCGATAGGAGGCTAGTACAGTTGTGAATTGTGAATGCCTAATCTCATCATTCGTAACTATCACAGGTAGGTACCCATTATCCAATCATGTATTACAGAATCAAATTAAGGAATCCAAATCAACAAGCGCCACCTGAAGAGCCTCAGCTGCTCAAGGGTTAGTTCTTTGAGCTTACGCAGGTGGTAAACATTCCTAGACTCATATGGATACGAGTACCCACTTTGGCGTCGAAAAGGATCCACTCATCTGCCGGCTCGGGGCGGGGCCTCGGACCCCAAAAGATTTCCGGACCCGGGAGATCCCCCTCCCCACCATCCAGAGTCTGCCTTACGAGACCCGATCGTAAGAGAAACGTGAAGCGAAGGTTTCCCCTTTTATTGTTTACGAATCTTTTGACTAGGACATACGTCTTGTCTCCCAGATTCCCCTCTTTTGTAAAGTTTTGTGTAAAATCGTCCGATTCGCCCAGCTCCCAATCCCAGACGGCCTCGCCGTCCCGTCCCGTCCGCACTTGACATCCTGCAACTCGACGCCAAGACTCCGCTGTGTGCCGACAAAGTATGGAAGGCCCGACGATGGCGACAGCCGGCAGTCAACAACAAGGTAGCCACGAGGTGGCCGCGCGGGCCCTGGGTGACAGGCCCCTGAAGCGCGACCCTGCATGTGTAGAGTGCCGGCAGCGGAAACTTAAATGTGACCGAAAGCACCCCTGCTCGGAATGCATCACAGTATGTGCCGTCTTTAGTCAAACTCCCCTCTTGCCTCGCGGCTCTTATTGCTGCTACTTGTACCTCATTCATGCCATCTTCCTCATTTCACATCTTTTCCTCCTTGCTGCTAACATGAACTCTCACGCAGCACGGCCGCCATTGCCTTGCTCCACCACCACCGGGTCCGCGCAAGCCGAGGAGGAAGAACCATTATGAACTACGCGACAAACTTGCGAGCATCGAGTCGCTTTTGGAGGAATGCATGGGATCGAAGCCAATCTATCATGCCAATGAAACGCCACCCGTCCTGACCGATCAAGAATCCCCAACGGACGGCCAGAACCACGATTATCATAGACCGAAGGTTCAGTCGCCAGGATGGCTCGTACAAACCAAGAACGGGGTCGAGTTCCGCGACAGCAAAACGGCGTCTGCGACTCGTGAGGATGTAAGTAAATGTCTTCCTTCCTATGACTCTACGACACTTGTTCTTAACACCATTGTTTGCTTTGCATCTTTATACACAAGACTATACTACATTAAACCTGCGCCATACTCATATAAAGCCAACATGGATATAGGAACAGACCATCCGTGCCCTTTTTGAGGTGGAAAGCGAGCAGTCGACATGGCTACCTGCTCTCGCCTTCCTCAATCAGCACCATGGCTCAATAGGCATATCTCCCGCTTCGGGGCTCTCATACAACTGTGTCCCATCTTCACCCAACATCATCATCTTGTGGAGAGTGTTCTTAGACAGAGTCAATCCTGTCACCAAGATACTTCACGTTCCTACATTTCAAGCCAACATTGCAGATGCAGTGTCCAACTTCCACGCCATCCCGCCCGTCACACAGGGGCTCTTGTTTTCCATTTTTCTCGCAGCGTCTGGTTCTCTGTCGCAAAAGGAGCACTGGGACATGCTACGCTGGTCCAAGAAGGATGCCTCGACGGTTCTGTCTAGAGGCTTCAAGACTGCCATGGCACGATACAACTATCTGAGGCGGTTTAACGAAGATACGATAAGGAGCCTGATATTTTACTCAGTGAGTACCTCATATGAACAGCATCCCCCTTTGGATTCTATCCACTCATTACACCTAGCTAAATATAACACAGTTACATCAACGCACTTTGAGAGATCCAGTAGATCCATGGATCCTCAACGGGATCGTCGTGAACATAGCCCACCGCCTCAGTCTCCACATTGACGGTACGCGCCTCGGCTTCTCGCCTTTCCAAACAGAAATGAGACGACGTCTGTGGTGGCAAACCGTTCTGATAGAGGCCAAAACGAGCGCCGCCTCATGCATCAGCGCCAAGGTCCTACCATCCAGCCGGGACACGCACATCCCCCTCAATATCAACGATGAAGACCTCCATCCGTCCATGAAGGAAGCACCTTGTGCCCGAAACGGTCCTTCAGAGATGTCTTACTGTATACATACATACGAAGCAGAATCACTCGCCATGGACATGCAGATCCCGTCCGTCGACGAGGTGCTCTGGGGCCAGGCCTCCTCAAACCCAGCTTCGGCTTCGGTACACACTGCCGTGCCTTCGCCGCACCCTTTTGACTCACCCTTCGTCACCGCCATACAAGATGCTTTACAAAAGTTCGACCAGACGCTGGGGCCCCTCGAGCGCCGTCTCCTCTCCGACTCCGCCGCGAACCCGCTCCACGCAATGGCACTCTATGCCCGCACATCACTCGCCGCCATTGTTCAGATTGTCATCACGCCGCTCGAGGCCGCACCGGGATGGGGCACGGAGATACACGGTCCAGAAGACAAGTTCTTCAACGTGGGCCTGGTGGCGCTGGAGATCCTGCTTGAGCAACGGCGGCTCGCGGGCCATCAGTTCGCGTGGCTCGTCGACCTCGACTTCAAGATTCAGACGTTCTACTACCTGGGCGCGCAGCTTCAGAACAGAGTATCTGGCTCCTTGGCGGAGAGGACGTGGGCTGTCATTGAGAAGATGTATGCTTGCCGCGAGGACTTGTGGGAGCTCAAGGATGAAGAGAATATGACGCTGGCGAATCTTTTGATTGTGGCTTGGAGTCGGCGCGCGGAGCATTTTCTGAGGGGTCGAGTTTTGCTGCTTGAGCCTCCTTTTGTAACGCGCCTGCGAGATGAGGTTATGATGATCAAGGCCGAGGCATTGAGCCTATTTTGATGATGTTGCCAGATATCACAGGCTGAGTGTCCGGGGTCAACTCCGTCCTCTCAACTTCTTTCGCCCATTTTCGATGTAAGGCACTGTTTGGGGGAAATTAATTGAGGTTTCGTGTATTAATGAAGATAGTGTCAGATGGATCATGGCCGAACTCTGCAACCACTAATGATCTTAAAGAGTTTACGCCTCATCTAAGATTCTGTGACATCTAGTTGCTCCACCGTACCACTATGCCGGATATGTGAACAAAGACTGGAGATATCATGGCTTGGGTGAAGAGAGCGGATAGTGGTGACTACATTCCCCTAAAGCTTGGTTTTGCGCTAGTCTCTTAGACAATGGCAATTAGCTTCCAGGGGTATGCCACGGCGTCCTGATTGTGAGCCTTTTGGCTCTTCGAGGCGGACTCGGCGTCTGATGTTATGGTATACATAATGACCCGTTCTTAATAAAGAACAATCCGTCAGATGTGAAGCCATGCAAACTTAACCTGCAATGGCTGACTCGTTGATCATAACGTTCACTCAGACTATCCGGTAGCCATGTAAAAGACCGAGAGCGAGCCCAGGACGACACCTGGCCGCCAGCTGGCTACCGAGATACTTCATAAGACATAATGATCAGGATACGAACTGGAGTTCATGACGCACTCGGTCGATTACTTTTCTATCCTCTACACCTCCTCCTTTTGGAAGTTGGGTAGATACGAATCACCGGGCTTCACTCTACTGCGCCATGGTCAACAACGGTCGACCATCGAAATATTGTTTCCCCTGCAGAAAAAGGAAGCTCCGGGTATGATATGCCTCAGAAATAACCCCTGGATCAGCACGTAACTGTCTTCGGCAGTTGTGATTTCTGCGAGCTAATCGACGGAACCAACTTGTAGTGCGACCTCGCGCCTGGAGGATGCGGCCAGTGTCGGAGGGCCAAACTGAGCTGTCATGGGTACCGCGACTCTACCCAGCTTCTCTTCCGTGACGAGACCAAAACCACGGCTTCAAAGGTCTCGGCCCGATTAACCGCTGCTGCTGCATCTCGCTCTCACGTCTCGATACGGGACCCTCCTCATCTCACATGGGAGGATATCTCTCGCGACACCTTCCTCTCCCTCTACGTTGTCGGGCTCAGCCACACCTTCGACACTCTCCCCGCTCTCCTGAACAACTCCCCACCCAATGGCCACTTACACATTAGCCTCGGCGCAGCCGGTCTCGCCTTCATGTCTTTCCACCTCAACAGGCATGATTTACTCCTCCTCGCCAGCAAACAATACGTCGCCGCCATCCGAAGCATCAGATCGGCACTGAGTAGTACCAGCAACAGCAACTCCCATCATGGTAACAATAACGACGAAGTCATCCAGTCAGCACTCCTCTTAGACCTATACGAGAAAATTGCCGACCGCCACGAGCATCAATCCGCATCGTGGCTAAGCCACGCCCGGGGCGCTCTCCACATGGTCTGCGACCGCGCCAACACCGACTTCTCCAACCCGACCACCTGCCAGCTCGCCAACAACGCCGCCGTAGCCCTCATGAAGAGCTGCGGCATCGCCGGCGTCCCCGTACCGCCCTCGCTGCTGGCCCTGCGCGAGGACCTCAACAGCTACGTCCGCGACGCCAAATGGAGCTTCACGGGTCTCGTCGTCGGCATCGTCAACCTCCGTGCCTACATGCAGGGCCTGGCTTCGGGCGCAGCCTGTCCGAACGTGGTGCTGCGCCGGGCAAAGATCTTGGACGAGCACATGACCCTCGTGGAGAAGCGGCTCCAGCGCTCGTGGAAGGCTACGCGGACTTTTACGGTTGCGTATAACCCGCTCATCTTTGGACGGTATTACGACGTCTACCCGAGTCACCACGCGACGCAGGTGACCAATGCTGTTAGGATGATGCGTTTGGAGCTGAACAGCATCATTCAACATGTGGGCCACAATGAAGAGCACACCATCAAGAGTCAGACCCGGGAGGTTATCCGGGAACTCACTCGGCACTTGTGTGCGGCCGTGCCCCAGTTTTTGCTCTTGATAGGGGGTGACGCCACGAGTCTACCAGTCCATACCCTACCACCATTACAGAGGCTACATTGCTGTACAATGTTGACGCCGTTGTACCTCTCCTTTTGTCTGACGGAGGACTTATACATGAAGGAATGGATCTTGCAGATTCTTCTGCATATGGCGGAACATGGAGTCAAGTTGGCGAGTGACGTCTTCCAACTGATTTCGTCAGGTAAGCTTGTAGATTATTGGGCTCTGTATGCCATGGTCGGTAGCTATGCTATTGCAGCTTAATGAAGATGACTTCAAAGTCGTTGATCATGATTTTTGTACTGTGGTAGATTCTTGGCAAGTTGGGTGACATAATCATTTGCCGCTCTATGACCCCAACTCTTTTCCTATCATTCTTTATTCTTTACTTCTTATATAGCAATCTCTAGTGAATATGGACAGAATAGAAGTAATAGTAGAAATGTGAATAGGCAGGATAAGAAGAAGCATAAGAAAGCTAAGGAATAGAAACAGGTCGTAAGTAAGTAATATGATTTTTTGCTGGCCGATATCCTAACTTGTCACCCACTTGCTTGGATAGCAAAGACCCTAGAATTTGGGAGCAATTTGCGCTCGCTTTCGGTTGGCACAGGACCTTGAAGCTGGGAGGAAGAATGGAGCTGTGTATGTAAGTCAAGGTCCAGTGTCTGCATACTGATTCAACAGACTCGCCCGGAATGAAGGTAATTTGGCAATGCGGCTTGTCAACATTATTGACAAAGACGGAGCTCGGTAGAGGCCTATTTGTGAATTGTCCGAGATGGTCGGCCCGATCCGTAGAATGCCATAGGCTCCGGCCGTGGGCAAAGATGCCACCGCTGTGCGCAAGTTTCATTCCATAAGGGTACCACCAAAGAAGCAGTGGCGACCTATAGCTTCGAAATTTCACTGTATACGGACTGCAAACTTCAATTAATCCCTTAGATTTCAAAAGTTCAGATGATGTTCCGTCTGACTAGAGTTTTAGAGTTCACAACTACGGAACGCTAGCCCCTTGGGGTTAATGCCACTTAGCGCTGATCCAGGCGTTCGGGAGCACCTACAGGGTTCATGTCTCGATTCAAACGTTGCTCGGCTCTTTTGGCACATGCTTGGCGATTGCCTATCTGGATCGAATAAGTGACCAAAGACGGGCGTATGTGAGGCTGATAATAACAACTTTATCGGCGTTTTGTGGTGTTTTCCTCCGACATTTTGAGCCAAATTGTATCTTGGAGAAGCCTTTCTAGGTTCATCGAGCCAAAATCAGATCGCATAAGAAGTTTCGCAGTTGCTGTTCCAAATGTGGTATTGGTGATTATTGCACACGTTTCTTAGAGCTTACTATTTCGTCTTCCATAAGTTCTTATACCGCAATCAAAGCAAGTTCCAAAAAGTCCAGAGACGAAAAGATGCCTTTTCCATACAAGACGGCTCTCATCACTGGCGCCACATCCGGGATTGGCTATGCTTTAGCAGAGCGTCTGGTCGCGAACGGTGTCTTTGTTATTGCAGTAGGTCGCCGCGCAGATCGCCTGCAGCAACTACTCTCCAAGCATGGAAGCTCAAAAGTTGCCACCGAAGTCTACGATGTTTCTAATATCGACGGCATTGAATCATGGATCAAAGAGTAAGTACGCCTGAATACTTTGATCCGCCCTAACTCCTAGACCTATTCCTTCCCCGCCTCATTCAGATATTCGTCTTCAAATAGACTACCTAAACGTGGTATATCGACTGATTATGCATATCCACAGAACGACAGCCAAGTATCCCACGCTAGACTGCCTCATCCTCAACGCAGGCGTCCAAAACACCTTTGACTTCACGCCCGCCCTCTTAGAAACAGCCAAAAACGAGCTGACCCTCAACTATCTCTCCCCGCTCATCGCAACCACGCACATCCTCCCCCACTTCGAGTCCCTCTCCACGCCGGCCGCCGTCATACTCGTGACCTCGGGTCTGGCCATCGTGCCCATGCCCCGCTGCGCAAATTACTGCGCCAGCAAAGCCGCACTTCGATCGCTGACCTGGAGCCTGCGCGCCCAGCTCGCCGACCGCGGGGTTCGCGCCGAGAATATCCGCGTCATTGAGATCGTTCCGCCTGCTGTGAAAACTGAGCTGCATACGCGACAGACGGACCTGGTCGCAGCGGGGCGGGCTGGTGTGGGTATGCCGCTGGAGCAGTTCATTGATGAGACATGGGAAGAGTTGGGGAAGGGTGAGGCGGACGATATCATTATTGGGCAAGCAAAGTACTATGCTCGTGGGGAGGAGGAGAGGAAGAAGGCTTTCAATGGGTTGCTTGCGGTGTTGAAGGGGAATTGAGTCGGGAGCTTTGAGTGACTGTGAGTTATCATCTGAGAGAATATCCATCTATATCTTCTATCGACAAGTCTCAAGTTACGCTAAAGGCACTTTGAATCTAGAAGTACTTGATGTAAGCTCACTTGAGTTAAAGACAGCTATAGAAATAGTCTCTTATAGCAAGTCCATCAAACCGGCAATCTATTAGTCACAAGTGAGGAGAAATTCTTTTTCGAGACAATAGTAGTCTGTTATATTCCTTTAGAGTTACACGTGCCATGATTCTAGATCCTAAGTCTGAGTCAGAGCGAGACAAGTCTGAGCTATACATCATTCATTAATCCCAGTCATCTCCCCATTCGCACCGTTTTGCCACCAGATCATCTTTCTGTCTCCAAAGCTCTGATGAGTTACAGTCCCGTATGATTACCGACTGATCCTCTGAAGTCCTGACAGAGTACCAGTCACTACCATCGGCGACCTCGTCACAGGCTGCGCTTAGATAGCAGGGGGAGGAGCCTGTTGGTTGGTGGCAGGAGGAGGAGGAGGGGGTCTCTGGTTGGGATCGACAGCCCGAGCGCCGTTGGGCTTGGGAGGAGGAGGGGTGTTGTCGTTGGCCGGGGGAGGAGGAGGAGCCTGAGCCTGCTGGTTCGGGTTCACGGCCCTGGCGGCGTTGTTAGGCTTGGGAGGAGGAGCCTGCTGGTTCTCCGCGGGAGGAGGAGGAGGGGGCGCCTGCGCATTGGGGTTGACGGCTCTGGCGTTGTTCGGTTTAGGAGGAGGAGGGGTGTTGTTGTCCTTGGGGGGAGGGGGAGGAGCGGCCTGAGGGTTGACCGCTCTGCGGTTGTTGGGCTTAGGAGGAGGCTGCTCGTTGTTGGCCGGAGGAGGGGGAGGCTGCTGGTTGGGGTTGATTGCTCTCGCTCCGTTGGGCTTGGGGGGAGGAGGAGTGTTGTCGTTGGCGGGAGGCGGAGGGGGCTGCTGGTTCGGGTTGATGGCTCTGGCACCGTTGGGCTTAGGAGGGGGAGGCGTGTTGTCCTTGGGAGGAGGGGGAGGAGCGGCCTGAGGGTTCACAGCTCTGCGGTTGTTGGGCTTGGGAGGAGGAGGCTGGTTGTTGTTCGCCGGAGGAGGGGGAGGCTGCTGGTTGGGGGCCACGGCTCTGGCGAAGTTACCGTTGCCAGCGTTGTTGCCGTTGTTGCCGTTGTTGCCGTTGTTGGCGGTGTTCGCGTTGTTGCCAGCCGCATTGCCGTTGGCACCCGCAGCTCCGTTGTTCACATTGTTGGCATTGCCGTTGTTGGCATTATTGGCGTTGCCAGCGTTGTTGCCAGCAGCTCCGGCGTTGTTGGCGTTGCCGTTGTTGGCATTGTTCCCGGCGTTCGCACCATTTCCGTTGTTTGCATTGTTGGGGTTGGCATTATTAGGGTTGTTGTTGGTGTTGGTAGGACGAGGAGGAGGGGGCTGCTGGTTGTTGTTGCCGGCGTTGTTGTTATTGTTGTTGTTGCCAGCATTGCCGGCGTTGCCAGTGTTGCCGGTGTTGCCTCCGGTGTTGCCTCCGGTGTTGCCTCCGGTGTTGCCTCCGGCTCCAGCTCCGGCTCCATTGCCGGCACCTCCGCCGTTACCACCTCCGATGGCACCAGCACCGCCCTGAGGAGCGGGAGCTAGAAACAAGAGGGTTAGTCACTGACCCTATAGGATGGCCGTGAGAGTACTTACCAGTCAAGGCATTACCCGTGAGAAGGGCAATAGCGAGAACGGTGAGAGTAGTGTAACGCATTTTGACTAGGTATTGAAGACTTGGTCAAGAAAGTCGAGTAATGACAGTATAGAGGTGAGAGAGAGAGTTGGGTATCGTCGAAAGAATCGAAGAAGTGAAGAATCAAGAGAAAATAGTGAATATGACTAAAGTTAGATGTGCACAGCACGGGAGAAGGTTGAAGAGTTAGGAAGGTTGTTGAAGTAAAGTTAAGAAACTGTTGATGAGAATGATGAGAAAAAAGAAGTTGATTTCCTCGAGATCGAGTGAGCCTTTATAGCCAAGATAATCCTCGAGACTTCAATGTTGTGACCCATGGCAAGCAACTTGAAGACTTTCAGCTCCACCGATCCCATCATCCAGCTCGTCTCATGTTGCCATTCAGCTGACGTTTCCCCCAGGGCCGTGTTTGCCGATGTCTAGAACGCCATGTGGAAGCATAGCCCGGCATGTCGAACACTTGACGGGCTGTGGACATCGCGACATCACCAACCCAGCATCTTGCAACATCGGGAGTTTAGATGGCATGTCGTCGTCCACCGAACCTCAAACGAGCATTGACGTTGCCTGCAAAGGCGTGTGAAGGCCTGCGATGGGCCTCATGGGAGGATGAACCCAGCCCCCAATCGAACGATTACGAAGCTTGAATTAGGTAAAAGCCATCAGAAAGGAGACTAGTCCGACGTCTAAGGAGAATAAACGGTTCGGCAGAGCCCCAGAGGCACCCCCGGGAATGTGGCTCTGAGCCTCAATTCTCTATTGAGGCTTGGCTCCCTCTTGCCGTCGAGGTCCTGCCGGGAAGCCTTGTGGGGAGAGGGAGCGGGAGCTTGTTTTCGGGACCCCATCCGGTTCGGAGAAAAAGAGCAACAATAGTGGGAAAAGACTTGAAAGGGGTTCAAACAAGGAGTCGCATCACGGAAAGCTGGGGGTTTCTGAGCTCTGACGTTGCCATGTAGATTCGCAATCCTCTTTGGGCCTTTGCGGTCCCCGCATTTTCGTGTTTCGACTGATGCTGTGACATGCCTACCGGGGGGGGCAGGGGTGGGAAGCCGCACCGATTGATTGCGCGGCCCGATCTACAACGTGATGTGGGAGACGACCCCGGCGTCGATGGCTAAATGCGGAAACTTCTGGGATTTCTAGAAGCTCCTTTTTTCTTTAGATCTCTCCAAGAGCCTAGAGGTAGTGAGGCTGAAAAAACTTGTAACGTGAGCGCATTGAACGAGACTCGGTTCTTCAAACATTCTGGATCTTTTTCGTCATCCAAGTTGGAAAATCATAGGTGGCTGGGCTCTACACACCGCCTCACCAGTGGAAGGGTCCGAGTGAAAGTGGTATGAGAGCAACATATGATGTTCAGCAACAATAACACCGTCAATTATGATCATCGCGACTTATGAGAGCCTCCCGAGGCTACGTATGCCCATGAAAGCCGCTAGGTTCGGGCATGCCGAGCCGACGATGGTTGCCTCAGAAGGCGCAGATGTGTAAGGGTAACGATGGAGGAACACGTTCGATGGTGAAGTTTGTAAGGATACGGCATTTCACTGCTCAGATGTAGTGCAAGACGTGCCGTATTGGCAAAATCCGTGCGACGTGCTCCGAGTGGCAGCCAACTTCTCGCATACAGCTTTCAAGTCCTGAAGGCGAAGGATGTTTGAGTACCATACGCATTTATATCGCCGTGATGGTTGATTGAGATGTTTGCGATGGTAGAGACAAGAGTGGGAATGAAGAACCTCTAGAATTGGTCATATCCCGAGAAACAACATAAAGATTAAAAGCCGGTCAGCGAGCTAGTGAATAAGCTTGTCAAGCTTTAACGAGTGGGCATCCGAGCCTACTTGTGATGTTGGAAAACCTAACAATCAATAGAGCGGGGCCTGCCGCGTCACTTAAATTGCAGCTCGTCAAATCATTCTATGCATACGTCAACTACCTTGCCAAGCCTCGAGTCGTAATTCTCAAGCCGTCTTGGAACAATGCAGAAGGAACCCGGAATAGAGAACCTACAGTTCCCGCCGTCAATGTTCTGGTTTTTACAATGCGATTTTGCATGTAAGGCAACCCTCAATAGAAATATACGTTTCAATGGAGACCTTTTCGAATAAAGAATGGCTGTGATATGAACCATGGCGCAAGTAATCCTCTCCGGCTTCATTTGGCCCAAATGATCAATACACACGGGATCAGGCCTTGGAGGAAGATCGCACGATATGATACGCATAATACGACTCAACGGTTTTAGCACTTCAATCTAAACTCGCGCTCGACTGAACATGGTGCTCTCAATCAGAGTGTACTCGAGTATATACGGGATTTCGGGCATATTATCTATTGAAAAGGCAACACCAGCGGGGATGTCGGTCTGAATGGTTATTTCGGAAAATAATGACTGTTGGTCAGGTAGTTGAGAGCAACCTGAACCACTAAAAAGCTAAGAGGAATAATTTGAGAGATGCGTTTTGTGAAGTCAATAAGCTTACTTCATTGTGACAACAGTTTGGCAGAATTTCGTAGATGATACGCAGGCTCTAAGCAGGTTCGCCTCTAAGTGTTTACTTTGTTTAAAATTTACTCAAATCATTTTAACGAATAACTTTCAAGTCCCTTGAAAAGGGATATTTTCTGCGTCTAGAAGATAAATGAATCCAACGTGAAATGTACGATCTTTATATATAAAAGAAACTGCTGAACTTGATTGCGAATGGTCTGATACTGAAAAGCATTTATGGATATGATGCCTTAAAACGTACTTCTAAGGAGTTCTTGCCGCTTCTTGCTATAATCCTTCCTTTCCATTTACAATCGTTTTTTTAACACATCCGATCTTGAATTGATTTCTACTACGCTCACTCATAGTTCTCAAGCACGAGCCGGGATTTGCTTTCGATATCAAGCAAGTAAGGAACAAATACCTCATACGCGAAGAGGTGGCTGAAGTAAGTCCAATTTGAGGGAGGTTGAGAAATACCCATGAGTAGGCACCCTTGGGTGATTTTGTTAATATCAAAGATGAGATGCACTACCATGGGATGAAAATGGCTATAGTCGTCGGCATCACCGGCAACACATCACAAGTCCGCCCAGAGTGTACGGATGACATAATGAGGGAGAATACTCACGAATTTTTCCACGTAAAGTCAAGGAGACTATCGCCTCCATTCTTTATCTCGACATCCAACTCGTTAATCGACGAAACTTACTACTCGTCGGTCAGCAGATAGCGTTCCCGATGATTGCAACCACAACGCGCCCAATCACAGAGTCACCCAGGCATTTAACGTCATATCATTAGTAAACCTCTTTGGTATATCTGCTTCAGTCATCCTCCTCCTCGACATCCGGCTGCTTGATAGCATACCCCTCCACAAACCCCTCCGGATCACAAATCCTCTCAAGACTAATTCCATTCGCAGCAACCCACTCCCACACAAGCGCCTTATTAACCTTCACCCTCGGTACATCAGGTCGCGGCCCAGCATCCGCGTCCTCCATCTCAACATCCTCATCCTCCTCATCCTCGTCTTCCACCACCCCCTCGTCAGCACCATCCTCCCCCGCTATTCTCTTCACCTTCTTCTTCTTCGCCGGCGGCTTCCCAGGCCCCCGCCCAGCCTCCACGACAACACCCATCTCCCGTAACGTCGCAAGACAATCATCCAACGCGATCCACGTCGCCCGGCTGCAGTCCTCGAGGTCGACCAACAACGCCGGATCCGCGTCACCTGCTGCTCGACCATTACTCGGACACCCCAAGATCCACCTCGCAATCTCCCCGCCCCAAAACCGTTTATACCCCTTCCTCCCCAGTTCCGAAATAGGCTTCTCCGGCCCGCCCAGCACGCCCTCGCGCCGCGAGATCTCGTACGACACGCCCATGAGCAGTGCGCCGAGCCCCTTTTTCTGCCAGGGCGGGAAGACGAGGATGCAGGCTAGGTTGTTGTTGTCCCACGACATTTTTTCCTTGGAGAAGAAACCGACAATATGAGGCCGTGGTGGTGACGCGGGCGGTTGTGGTGGCTGCGCCGTTGCTGTCGGGTCTTGCTGGGAGGTAGGGTTTGGTTTGGGGGCTGGGGGTGTGTAGACTAGGAGGAAGTAGTTGAAGCCGCGAACGTCGAAGAAGACGGACTTGTTGTCGAGGAAGAGTTTTGCGAATAGGGATAGGTTCTGGCAGAAGAGCTGGCATGAATTGTGTCAGTCGAAATGTGTCTCACTCGCAGAAGTCCTCTCTCACTATGAGAAAAATAGAAAAGGGGGCAAGATTGTACTCACCACATCCTGCTCGCCATCAACTTCCCACACACTCCACTCCCCCTCATCAGTAACATACTCCTCCGTATACTTCGGCGCAACATTCGTCTTCTTCCCCGTCGTCCGCGCAATCTCCTTGCGCACCAGCCTCCGGCCCCGCGGGTGCCGGTAGACCTTCCGTCCCGGCACCACCCCGTTGCGCTCGCACATGCGGACGTGGCCCCACCACGCCACGAGCTCCTTGGAGTACTTGAAGCACATGGGACACACGTATAACCTGTCGAGCATGGGCGCGTCGCCACCCTTTCGATGCTGGTTCTTGGCGCCGCCGTTGCTGTTGCTGTTGTTGTTTGCGCTGGCAGCGTCGTGTGCGAGGGGTTTTTTGCTCCCGCCGCCGCCCGTCTTTGCGCCCGCGGCCTCGCCAATGACTTCTTTGCCGTAGTAGGATGGGTACCACGCCCGGAAGCAGATGTTGCCGAGCATCACCTTGTCGATGTTCCGATCGGTCCGTGGGGCGGACTTGTCTGCTGTCCTCGGGGGAGGGACAGGGGGTGGAGGCGGGGCCGCCGCCGCCGCTGGCGCTGGCTTGGAGGGTGTTGATGTCGATGTCGGGTGTACGGGTACGGGGACGGCGGTAACGGTAGCGGGAATGGTATGGTGATAAGAAGGTCGGGACGTCATCGTCGTTGTAGTTGTCGTCGAAGAGATTGGCCGGAAGTGCTGCGTTATGGGTGGCTGGCTTGTGGGTGGGCTCGGGCGGACGAGGC